TCAGTAACTACTGATAGTTTTCAAATATTTTTAAAGCTGAAAGAACTAAGAGGTGGTACTCAACAAACAGATGTAGCATTTATAAGAGTTCTTATACTTGTACATCTTACAGAGCAAGAACAAGATAAATTTAACAAACAAGATTAAAAAAAAATCATATTTGTGACACTAAATAATGATACACTACATTGTTCGATTCCTTTTTAATTTATGTTCGATATGTTTCATGGATATTTTTGAATTGGTTATAAAAATGAAGAACGTGTTAAATGTAAACATATTCATTTAATTATTAAAATTCAACCATCAAGTAAGATTGAAAAGATTTAGTTACATTATACAATATTTTTTCTCTACCATACTGTTAGCTCGTTCGACGAGCTTAACTTTGTTTATTTATTTCATATGTTAAATCTAATTGAATGGAAATCCTTTCGTTCAACTATGTTGCGGTACATTTGTAGCTAACCGTTTATCTAATGCTTTACAACTACACTTTCTCTGTCACGACCTGTGATGGGTACTTGGATTCTCTGTCACGGTCTGTGATGGGTACCCGAATTCTCTGTCACGGTCTGTGACAGGTACCTGGATTCTCTGTCATGGTCTGTGATGGGTATGGATTTTCTCTGTCACGGTCTGTGGGTGGAGGAGGGGGGGGGGGGGGGTGCAAAATTTCTACCCTGTACACTTCAACATTCCTTTCAGATCGTGTTTCACAAAAAGCTTATCGAAGTGTGATGATGGAATAATTCATCTTCTTCAACTTGATTAAAATATGAAAAGAATGTTTACAACATCTGAAAGAATGGGTCTACCAATAATAATTCACATTTAAAATATTCATTTGATAATAAATTACACAGAAGTTGATGCTGATTAGGTATCATGATCAAAATCGAGCATACTATGTTCGATCAACATTACTTGACACTGAACTGTAATTGAAAATTGTTTTGAAATTCATAGTAAATATTTCTTTTAGTCAAAATTAAGTGTTGGTGCTCCAAAAGAAGTATTATGATTCGTCGTTACTGATTTTGTTGGTCATTTTTTTTTCAATTGATTTTAAATCTGTTTCATTATTAGTTGATATAATTCATTGTTGAGCATCTTCAGGTGGAATGGGTGCATTTAAGCCTAAATCATAAGTAATTGAATTTGTTTTACTTCACAATTAATGTTATTTCATAGAAACTTTGGATTCACTATTTATGTATGCAAAATGACTCAAGCTCAATATCGACAAATATTATGACTTCATGGTAATAAACGACATATGTATAACACAAATTGGTACAATAAATATATTAATGTGTTTGAAAAATAAAAAAAAACAATGTTCAATTAACTACATCACTTTTAAGTGGACTTATTTTATCTGATGTTACTCGTCAAAGTGTACTAAATCTTGGACATAGATAAGTAGAAATATACTAACTCATCTCTAAAAGAATTCTTTGTTGTTTTTTCTTTGAGACAGATTTACATGTTTCTGAACGAGAAATAACAATGAATAAACTTTTAGAAGCATATCATGATAACAGAGTATGATTTTATACATAAGAGAAAATATTTCGTTTTGAATTTTCTTTATTCTACTAGTTGTAACAAATGTTTAGTGGTGGTACAGCATATATTGTTAGCTCTGTTGAGCAAATCGTTTATGAAGGAAAAACATGTGATTTTAGCTACAATGAACTTATTTCATACAATTATTTCATTTGAATAATTAATGTGAAAGCTTGATTAAAAAAATTGATTTTATGTCATCTTTATTTTGCCTTTTTAACTGTTCAATAAACTGAATTTTTAGACGATGTAAATCATTTCCTTTTCGATCTAATATACTTATTAGCATTTTATTAAAATTCAGTTTCTATAAATGTTTCAGAATGATCAGACCGTTTTTTTTATCATTGATAATCTCTCTTTTAATATTCTCAATATAGCATGCTCTATTGAGATATTTCAAAATTCAATACAAAATATCTAAAATCTTTTCTTTCTTCGTAACTAATGAACATTGAAGATAAGATTTGCCATTAGGTTTGAAGTATTCTAGTTATAAATGTGTTCCTGTACATTAAAAAAAAAATTCTTAGCCACTATGATGCGATCGACTAAGAAATAAAAATATCGTCGAATCAAAAGTTCACCTTCTAAGGGACAAGTGTGAAAAATCTCATTGACAATTGATCATCAATTATTACAAGACATCGTTTATTTACATGTGAAAACCGATAATTTTGAAAGTAAAATAAAAATTTGTTGTTTCTCTTACTTTTTGTTTTTTAATTATTCATGCTTTCATATCCCTTGATATTACTGACATATGCATTGAGAATAATGCATTTTCTTTATAATGAACATAAGAATAAATAAATCGAAAACAATAATTAGAATCTGATAATAAAACATTATATTTGAATTTTACTTTAACTGAATACCTCATTTCATGATCTTTCATCGTCTACAAAAAACTGATATGAATAAAAAAAAATTTTCCAAAAACAAAAAACAAAACGTGAATATTTAAACGATATATATATATATATATACATACATAAAGAAGGCAACCAACAAAAAGAAACACAAGATTTTTAATAAATAATTATTTATGTTTTTTAGCTTGTGCTCGAGATGATGTTTTTCGATTATTCGTCGTATTCAAATCTGAATTAAGTTGCTGTCTTGCTTGTCCACATGCTTGTGCAAGATCAATATCTGTTAATGGAAGTTTATCCATTTTAATTAAAAGTACATCAAATGGTAAACTTTTTGCTGTTTGTTTAATAAGTGCAATAAGATCCATTGCATTATCACATTTATGTGCTTTAGTTACAATATCAGGTGGACCAACATCAAGTGTTTCACGTAAAATAACAAGAGCTAAACGAAATAATACTTTAACACCTTCACAAAAAAACATATCCCATATACGAAATAATTGTGGTGCACGATAAGTTCGAGAAAATAATGTCATATACCAATCAAGTGTATATAATATTGGATCAACATCAAGTTTACGCTAGAAAAAAGAAATGATAAAGATCGTAATATAAATCATAATTTTGTAAAAGGAAGAATACAATCCTTCGCTTGAAATTTCAATTGTTTTTTTCTAACATAGCACTAAGAATAAAGGTCTTTCTCTCTCAGAAAAAAAACTATAGAATATTGCATAGCTTTTTTAAACTCTCATAGTGAGAAAAATAATATTTTTTTTGTAAAAATTTTGATTTTTCAAGTGTCTGTTTTATTTCATGGCAGTAATGAACATGGCTATCATACATCGCTAAGTATGATCAACACATTCAACATTCAAACCTCAAAGACTATGGAATAGAATGAAAGTGTGGTTGAACTTGAAGTTCGCGATCATTTTTCATCAAGATCGTATGATCAAAAAAGTATTTCATGTGAGGTATAAATCGAAAGTTTTCTAAAGAAAGTCGCTGTAACTTGATATCAATAATTTATTTGTTTTATTAAGTTTTGCGATCACATATGTTATGATATGATTTTTTTGTTATATGCAATGATATAATCAGATGACCCAATTAGATATATGCAAGACCAGGAATAGAAGAAAAAAATTTGTCTGATGAATCATCAATCAGAACATAATTCAAAAATGATGACTAGAGAACATCGGGTTTCTAGTCTGTAATCAACTCGACGGGCTTTAGAGACAAGCTACATGTATTAAGATTATGAAAGGAATCGGTGAAAGGAAACTTATCTAAATTGGAACCAAAAAAAACTTAGTCCCATATATCCCTAATATCGAACTGTCATCTCTCTATTACTCTCGAAATATTCGTCTTATACTAACTTCACTTAATTTCTCATGTCAACATTAATTATTCAATTATGGTTCTAGATAGAGAAAAAAACAGCCAGTCTATTTGCTAATATAATCAATATTTTACAATTTATGATGAACAATCTTTCGGATCTCTCTTATTTGCAAGGCTAAATAAATGCTTACCAGTAAACGATAACCTCTTTGTGAAACTCTTTGTATAAGTAATTCTGTAGCTAATGCATCTTCTTTAACAGCCATTAATCCATCACTAAAATATCCTTTAACATATTCTTCATTAATTTGAACAAATACCCAAAATGCTTGTTCAGGTGGTAAATGCATTAATAGAATAGCAGCAATTGGTGCTTGTGCTTGACAATAACCAACAGCTGGATCATGAACAGCATATGCTTTAAGTACATCAAATAAACTTTCTTGTCTAAAATTATAATCAATAAATAAATTTAAAAATTATATTCATTTATTACCCGCATCCATTATCTCTAAACATTTCATGATCAGGAAAAGATCTAGCAAGATCTTTTTTTATATCTTCAAGAACATTTAATGTTGGTGTTTGTGTTAAATATAAATTAAATACACTTCCTGTTGGACAATTTCTATCTGCATTTTCATGTCGATATTTTGCTGCGGATAAATGATACCAACCTTGACCACGTACAGATGGTGGTATACCTTTTCGACAACGTGTTTTAACTTTATCAAAACGTGATTCAATAAATGAAGACCATCGTGCAAACATATCAAGCCATTTTTGTTCACGACGACGAGCTACTGATGCTTTTACTGATTCTTCTGTTCTATAAAAATAGAAACAAAGCAATACATAACAAAAAAAAAAGAAATTTTGTTTTTGTTTTCTTTTTCTTTTTCTTACTCAAGTTCATTCGGTGAAACAAAAAATCCATATGTATTCGGTACTTCATCACGTTGTTCACTATTAAGAGAATAATTAACCATTGTTCTATTCTAAATTCAACATCATCTAAAATTATTGACTCTGTCATTTCTTATTTGTACAGACAACATTATTAAAATATATAATGTAAGATTACTACAAAAACTACATACACAGAAAAAAGACCGAAAGCAACAATATATAAATATATGAACATCAATAAAAAAAACAAATCAAAAATAAAAACAACAATTTGAGACTCATTTTTGTTTAATGCTGTTCACTGTCATTATCATCAACTAATAATAAATCTTTTTCATCACTATCATTATTATTATCCAATATAACAGTTTCTGGACATGGACTTGATTGCGTATGATAATATGCATTTAAACGAAAATCTTCATTTTCATATGGAACTAAGTCATCAACTATTGATCGAAAAGATATACGATCACCGGGTGCAAATGTCCAACAAGCACGCATTAATTTATGTCTAAATCAAAATAAAATATAAATAAATTTTACAGAAAAATTATTGCATTTTCTTACAAAATTTCTGGACAATTAGGTGGACGTTCAAGTGTTATATTTCCATATCGAACATAATGTACAACTTCTTCATTACCATAACCTTGATAAGGTTGTTCAGCTAATGTTGCTATCTCCCATAGAAGAACACCAAATGACCTGACAAAAAAAAAGATCCATCATTTAAAAGACAAAAAACCCGAACGTTGAATTTTTACCAAACATCAGATATTGTATCAAAACGTCCATCTCTTAAACTTTCTGGTGCCATCCAACGAATAGGAAGAAAACTTCGACCACCACGTCGATAATAATCAGTTTCATAAATATCACGTGTTAGTCCAAAATCTATGTAAATAAATATTTATTTTCTTTTTGTTTCTTTTGAAATATATATTCTAATTTTACCTCCAACTTTACATGTATGATTTCCATTAACAAGACAATTTCTTGCAGCTAAATCTCTATGAACAAATTTTTGATCTGATAAATAATACATTCCATCAGCAACATCTAATGCTAATTGAATCATTGCCGATTCAGATAATGTTGGACCATTTGGCTAAACAAAAAAAACAAAATAAAAATTTATTCATCTTTAAAAAAAAACAAACACTAAATCAATATATTACATACATTAACTTCACTTTGTCGATGTCGATAAAGATAATTTTTTAAATCTCCATTTACCATTAATTCCATAACAACATAAGGTGGTCGAATACGTGAACATATTCCATATAATTGAATAACATGATAACATCGAAATTGTCTATGAAAAATAAATGAAAAAAATACAATTTTTTTGTTTTTTTTTGTGTATAGTCTCAACAAACTTCATTATTGATGCTTCTTGTAATAAATCAGTTGGATGTGTTGTTCGAACCTTTAAGAAAAAGAAAACAAATTAGATTGATTTTATTCTAAACAAAAATTGTTTACTTTAATTGCACATGGTTTTAATGTTCCATCTTGTAATTTTAAAACACCTTGATAAACTTGACCAAAATGACCTTGACCAATAAGTTTATCTAATGTAACAGAATCTTTATCAATTTCCCATCGATCAGGTGTATACAATTCTAAAAATAATATTTCAAAAACAAAGAAAATAATGAATCAAACAAAGCAAAACTGTTAACAAACCATAATTTGGATTTTTTGAAATTGAAGCTTTTTGATCACTTCGACCATATTTATAATAGTAAAGTAATGCACCAATTAGAAATAATAATAAAAGTGTAGTTGAACCAATTATTAATATAATTACTAATAAACGATTTTGTCGAGTTAATTCATTACCTAAAATTTATTTACGTTTAATCAATAGAATTTAAGAAAAAGAAAAATAGTAAACATTTAGATTCCGGGATAATAATTACAACTATCTATATTTTTCGCTGTTTATGATACAAAAACAAGCCATAATTGTCCATAATACGGCATGATATACAATTCACCCACATTGAAGAGAACGGTGAAAACCTACGTCTTCTTATGGCCGTAATATGCCGTTTCCAACGGTTGGAATAACTGTTTTGGATATACTCAACAACAATAATTACAGTTGTCGAAACGACGGCCAGAAAAATGATATTGTCTACTGTCGTTTTTATACAATTTCTGGTCATAAATATGTGTGAAGTGATGTCTGGTAGGCGCAACTTTACAATCGTATTATATCATGTCCTATACAGTAGATAACGATCTAGAAATCGCGTATTCAGTTGTTTAACATACAGCGAAATACATTTGTAATATTGCGCCTACCAAACGGAGAGACAAAAGTCATCTACAATGGCTTTTAACGATTCACCCACACCCCAACACGATTATAAAATATTGGCCTGGATTACAGTAGAATTCAGTGTGTAAACTAAACGTATTATTTGACTAGACCAGCAGATGTCTTTCACATAGATTCTATTGAACTTACTCGGTAAATCTTTTGTTGTAAAAATAACTTCAAAAAATAAATCCGTTGAATTAAATGAATTTTGTTCACCATTAATTTGTTCACTATCTTCATATTCATTATTTAATCTAGCTATTGTGTATGCAATGATTTTTAAACGATATGTTGTTCTTGGTATAAGTGTTACATTAATTGAATATACATCATATCCAACACAACGTTCTTCTTTTGGACCAGTATTACTATTTTGTCCAATATGTATAATATAAAAATAAATAAGTCCATTTGGTTCTAATGGTTCTAACCATGATATTTGATAAGTAAGTGATTTTGTATTAGTTGTTAATTGATCAGAATTTTCTATTGAAGCAACAACTTGAACATTACGTACTAAATCACGAGATGCTAGAAGAAAAAGAAAACTAATTAATCAATGAAAGAACGTATTCGAGAACAAAAAAAAAACAATCTTCATATGAAAATATTTACCACTAACAGTCAATGATCCCATAGGATTAATCCATTTAGATCTGATATAAATTAATCTAATTTGTGATGATATGACTGATTCACTAGTGACTCTTTGCTTGTTATATAATGAGAAAACAGAGAAATGATTCATAATGATCGATCGACTAGTACGATCTGATCATTTAGATTAGTCCTTATTAGACGTTTAAGCTCGATCCACTGAAACCTCTGTTAACCGTCATGTATAACTTCCATTAGTTTAACAAGCCACACTATTTATTGGGAAACGTTTCTATTAGATAACTGGCCATGGAGCACCATGGGTGGACTATTTTTCAAGAAAAAAAAACATGAGCTGAACCGGGCCAAGTGTTGATAACTTATAGTTCAGCTTTTTTTAGCTCAGCCCAACTGATTGAAAAATCTGATCTCTTATAGTAGGAAAAAAAGCTTTGTACCCTTTTAACTTCGCTTAGTTTTCCATATCGTATGTCGAAATGAAACTATACTTTGATTTAAAAACCCTTTTATTTAAGATGTAAAATGTTTTGATTCATCAAAATAAATAAAATACATACGATCACCAGGTTTTGTTCTCACAGCTAATATAATTCCATTAAGACTACAAGCTTCAGATAAAGATTGTTTTGATATATCATGACATGCATAGACTTGAAACATATACATTTGTGCTTCTTTTAAACCATTAATAACAACTCTTGTATCGGATACAGTTTGATTATAAAGATCAATATGTGGTTTATGTTCAACAACGGTTTGTTCTTGTGAATCTGATTTATAATTATCATTAAATGCACTACTTTTATCTTCAAAATAATGATCTAAGTCATTTATGATTGTATCTTTAAGTTCTGGACGAATAAATAATGGATCTTTTCGTTGGCTTACAGAATTAATAAGTTGATATTCAAGTATAGATAAATCTGTAACAACTTGATCAATACTTGTATTTTCTTCATTTTCATCATCTGTTTCATCATCATTATTGGTAATTAAATGAGATATACTAGATTTTGGTCGTGAACAGCGTGCTGATTGTGTAAGATTTAAATGATTTAGTTGAACAGCTTCTTCTGATCGCCAGCGATCTTAAACAGAAGAAAAAAACTATTTATTCTTTTGTCATGTGTCAATCCATATTAGGTTTTTTTTGTTTTTGCTCTTCAATTTACCTTTCATTAAACAAAGTAATTTCGAATTATTTACTGGTAAACGATCTTCCATAGGTGCATAATAAACAAGATAATTAATTATTGGACCATTAGGTTTTGATGGTGGTTGCCAAACTAATTCAATTGTTGAACGAGATAATGATTTACCACGTAAATTAAGTATAGGTTCCGGTTGACGTGGTAACGTACGAAAATAAGCAATTGGAGAAAATAAACCAATTCTATTAAGATTTGATGTTATAGATGCATAAACAGCATACCATTCATCACCAAGTAGTGATGTTAACTGTGCACTCATTGTAAATGAACCACCTAAAAAAGAATCATATGTTGAATTCCATGAGATGTATAGAGAAAGCTTTTTTTTTCGTACTCTATACCTTGACTGAGAGAAAGATAATTACATGGTTTTGACTCACAAAAGAAATATATGTAGATTAGCAGCAAAAAGATTTTTTCTATTAGCCTACATAGATTTTGTGGCGGAGTCAAATGATCACCGTAGTAATTATATTTATCTTTTCGAACCATTACTCTATACTACTGTACTTCTGCACACATATAAATTACAATAGTAAATCGAAAACAATTCAGATCTACAGTAATGAGCTTGAAACGAAGACTTTTGTCGAAAAATTTAGCGGTATCTTTGTACTACGGACGTTTTTAAAAGAATTTTGTTGTTTTTTACTAAGTATATAATTCATTGACAGATAAGTGTCAATTCAAAAAGAGAATCTATATTGCACATAGAAAAGCAATACTTTACGAAAACGACAATAATGAATGTCAAGTATTAGAGGTAGTAGAGTATAATAGAACCTATACCAAGTACGATTACAAAACTATAGCCTTTATTCTTCAATGAAGATCACTTTGACCATAGATTATATCAATAACAACGAAGGAAATAGTACAACAAAATAACGAGTATAGATATAGTTTTGGTTATGTCTAAGAGTAGAAGCGGCTAATCATAGAACAATCCTATGAGAGATTAGATAAAACGATTCATCTTATTAATTTTATATTCACAACCTGACGAAAATTTCATTTTTTTTATTCCCATATCGATCCATAAAAAACACTAAAGTAAAAATCGTATTGCTTTCTGAGTCACGTCTTCAGTTCAATGTTGACTAAACTTGTTCTCAAAGAATTTATTTGTTCATATATACTATTTTGACTATCATATTCATATTAGTAGATGATCCATCATAGAATTCGACTCCTTTCATTTTTAAACAAGACTAACAAATATATTTATAAATATGTATGTTTGACTATTAAATTCAAATAAATATTTACCATGAGGTGCTGGATTATAATTAACTTTTTCGACTACTCTTAACCATTTACGAGATTGTGTTGCATCAAAATGAGTTTCATTTTTTGTTCGTGTTGTTTTATAATAAACTGATAAAAATGGTCGACGTAAATGTTCAGCTGTACCACTTGAACGAAGAAATAAATCTTTTAATATAGCAACATTAATTCGTGCTGTTAATGAACGTATTTTATCAATTGTTATATTTAAATAATTTGATTCACATGATGCTAAATATCCATTAGCATATTCATTATATGTATCTCGTGTTACTTGAAGTTCTAAATAATAATAATAATAATAATTGAAAATTTTCTAATAAAACAAAAAATATCAAACCTTGTTCAATTGTAGTTGTATGATTAATAAAATTTATAATATGTTTTAAACATAAACGAGCATTACGAACAATATTTAAACTTCCTTGTACAATTGGTAATTGTTGTGTTAATGGCCAAAGTTCCGTTAAAAGTTCATTTTCTTCAATTGTCATTGAAGCATTTGATGTTATACCAATACGTTGTAATTGAGAAAAAATACCTAATGATGAAAATAATTTAACATTATGTATTGTAAATTCATGATCAATTTGTTTAAGTGAACTAAATGCTGAAAATACGTCTAAAAAATTATTGCCATTTGATTCAACTGTTTCTATATTATAAATATTTAATGTATGTACACGTGAACAATATTTTAATGATTGAAAATCTCCTATTGAACGAAGATGTTTTTCACGACATGCACCATTACAATAATTATTGTCTGGAGATGATATACAACGAATACATCGTGAACCTGACATACGAACAAAACCAGATGGACAAGATAAAACACATTCATTTATTTCTTCTAATATAAAACCAGTACCCAAAAAAAATGACGTACATTCTTGACGTGTTACACATAAAGAACCACCAGCCTTTAAAATAAAATTCATTATCAAACATGGAATAATATCTTTTATGAATATGGAAGAACAAAAAAAAACTTTCGTGTTTATTCAGATGATGTTACATAATACTAACACTACTGTATTGTTACTGAATTAAGATAATTAACAAAATATAAAAGAGTTTGATAAAGACAAAAAAATAACGTAAAACATGTAGTTTAAAAAAAACATTAGGATAATTTATAGAGAGCATTTCTTTTTTTTTCCGAATCAATCTCACATTTCATTGAAACTCAAATCAATTAAAATATAGATATTAAAACTCATTGTCAACTTTAATATTAATATTTGAAAGTTAAAATTTTTGATTAAGAAAACAATGATAGTATTGTTTCTATAGTGAAGGATTTCTATCTCGAATATAGATTATAACAAGAATGAGTAATTTTATCGATAAATGAATACGTCTCATAGAATTATATTCTTATCTTATTAATCTAGTCATTCGTTCATCAATCGAAAACTGAAAATATCATCCATCTTATAATACAAACTTAGTCTTAAACTAGAACTTTAACAACTTTATAATGCACAATCATTTCTCATCTATATTTGATATAATTTTTTGTGGGTCATAAAACTATCAGATAGAGATCTACAAGTTCGGATCTGAGGCACTGTTGAAGACGTTTTCTGACATGCTCAAACAAATCTATTGATCGGGACCGATTTTTTTTTATCAGTTCAGCTACTGGATCTGATTTTCACTGTACTATGAGAATGGCACTTCTGAACATAAAAAGCTTTTGTTCTGTTGCGAGGATGGTACTCTCAGATACATAAAAAACCTTTGTTCCATTTTCGAAAATACCAGTTTTGATTGCAAAAAATCTTTTTCCTGTTTTTTGCAAATGACACTTCTAGGTATTAAAACATTTGTTCTTTTTTAATGGAATTCAGTTTCCCAAACAGAACAAAATTTTTCAAATAGATCAATTTCAAGAACTTAACTGTTTATCAAAGAAAAATTTGATAGGAAAAAACAAAATTTTCATTTACTTTTAACATATTATCTGGACATTTTTGTACACATATTCCCGTCGAATGAATTCTCATATTTCTACAAGCATTACAAATTAAACTTGATGTTGATGTTGAATTATAATAATGACATCCTCCAACACATTCATTTGGACAACATTTTGTTTCTGTTAAACAATTTCCTTGACAATTAGTTGAACATCTTTGTTGACATTGTGTTGGTGACCAACATGCTGATGGACATGTTGGACAAAAAGCACAATTATCACGATTTTGTCGTGATATAACTTGAGATTTTTTTGTTTCTAATATATCATTCCAACGTAATGATTCAGCATAACATAATTGAGCATTACGAGCTATAATTACATTTCCTCGACGTATATTAATTAATGATGTTAAACTTAATTCTTCCAATAAAAAATTATCCATCACAATTAATGAATATCCATGATATAAATCTCGTCCATGTATAACTGATAAACGTGGAAACATTGATGAAAATGAACGCATAGATGAATAACCTAATAACATATAACCATAAACTTCACGAAGATTTGGAAAACGTATTGTCGTTGTTGTACTTGCATTTATTAAGGAATGCATTGGAGCATATGTAACTGAACCAAGACTTATTTCACAAGATGATAATGCATGAGCATCAAAACCACGTCGTAATTCAAATAATGTTACACGAATATCACCACATACTAAAATATAAATATATATTTCAATGTTTCATAGATTTGATAAGTGTTTAAAAATTTTTTCAAATATTCATAATTTTCAATGTCAGATTTTTCTTTCGAAAGAATAATAACTACTTTAAAAGAACAACACTTCTGACATCTACGCAAAAATTAAAGATACTTTTCAAAAAAAAAAAAAAAAAACATAAATATTGAATTCTATAGAATTTTGCTTAGTTTTCAACTAAGAATCATGATGAATGTTGTTTTGAGAGATAATAGCTTATCAGGAAATTGTTGTAAATTTCAAGATAGATAAGTGGCTAAAAGTCGCCATACATTCTCATTTACAATACACCGGATAGAGTTGATGCTTGTTGTTATAAAACAATGTTTAGTATGCAATGTATTTTTTTTTTGTTTGGTTTCTTTTCATTCAAACAGAAACGATCAAACTATTGAGTGCACCCTCAAAAAAAGAAACAAGGGTTTCCTTTATAAATGAAATCTTCAGTATAAATCATGACATAAAGCAATGGTAAATTATATTCTGAAGCTAAACAACAAAACAAGGCAATCTAAACATTTTCTAGTATAATTAAAAGAAAGTTTTAACTCGATCGGATATTAATGTGAAGATGATTTTCAACTGCTTCTTTTTTGTTTTCAAAATATTTTATGTTTATCGAAATTATAATCATACCTACTGACGAAATGTCACTTGTTTCATATTTCACAATAAATAAAAATATATCAATTACACCAGTGTTTGCTCATATATGAATACATTAAAAACAATATATTGTTCTAATAATTAGATTTTTTTTTAATAAAAAAAAAACCAAGAATCTGTTATTTAACAAAATTACAAAGATCAAACTGAATAATCAAAACATAGCAAATTTAATATTAGCTCGAACTGTTCTATAGCTGATAAAATAGCTTAAACTAGATTCAAATCAATCAAGTTTTATATTGACAAATTAACTATGAACAAGAGCAGCATTTTTCAAATACTTTAATATAATCCTTATCATTTTATTACCTTTAGCATGTGATTTAGCAATGGCTATAGAATCAACAGTTTCATTATTGTCAGCAGATGTCAATAGAATATATAAACATATAATAATAGTCAAAACATAGCATGAGAAGTTTTTCATCTGAAATAAAAATGAATACACAAATATTTCTTAGATTATTAAATAATATTTATATCAATAATCCATTAAAAAAAACCAGAAAATATATGTTTTTTTTTCTCAAGAAGACGCCAAATACCAACTGGTATCATCATTTGTACTTTAAAGCATAATGATTCTCTTTCGTAAATTATAAATATAGGCAATAACGAGTGCATGAAATAAAAAAGAAAAGAAGAAGAGAAAGAGAAAAGAACACCTTAGAGATATGACCATTTATTCAACGTTAATGCCGCGATGTTTTCAGTTTGGGTTTTGTTGCACTTGTAAGAACATCATCAAAAAAAGCATCACTATCCCAATCATTCTTTTTTTGACTTGTTGTCGATGGTTTATCTTGTACCCATAAAGATGGATTTGATACAGTAGAAGTTTTTGTTGTTGTTGTTGTTGCTGTTTTTGGTGGTTGAGAGGATGATAATGAAGCAGCAGCAGTAGCAGAAAAATCTTCCCATTTATTATCTTCTGTTTCTAATGTATCACCCCAATCATTTGATTTTATATCATCCCATGGTGTTTTATCTTCTTCAACATCGTCATTTGTTTTATTAAAATATGCAGCTAATGCTGATGATTGTCGATCCTATTTTAATTATTTTATTAAATTAATAATAAAATATCAAAAAAATATAATATTTTTTTGTACATACTGATTCTTGTGTTGCTGTTTTCGTTTGCAATTTCGTTGTTGTTTTTACCGTAACAGATGATTGCCCATTATTACTTGTCTCTACTAAATTGTTTACATGATAAATAGTTTATATAATGTCATACAGAACAAAAAAAAAATGATTGTCGGACTCTATCGTTCGGTATTGCTTTTTATTTTTATATAATTTAAGCAAAATGAATAATACCAATGCACAAAAGCGCAGGCAAAGTAAAAAAAAAAAAACAATTCGTCAACCATTTGCAAAAAAAAAATATCAATCAATCAACTAGTAATAACAAATGATTACAATCGATCGATTGGACGTGTTTACAAAATTAACATTTGTCTTCTATCTACGTTCTTGATTTTTATTTTTTATTTAAGATTTCTTTCTATTACTCTTGAAAGAAAAAAGAAACAGTGTCTTGTTTATACAACATATTATTCTATACGTTTCAAGAATATACTTTTTACGTGTTTTTTTTCTCTAAACGATAGTAGTAGGACATTCATGTATGTCAAATGAAAGAAAGAAAGAGAAAGAAAAAGAAATATTTTTTTTTTCTCAATAAGGACATATCAACCGTTTAAGTTACGAATAATCAAATCATTGATTGATGAATAAATCGAATAGATAAAGTCACATTAATATTTAGTCTTGATCGAAGAAGAATAGGAGATTATTTCAATACAATAGACAATCTTTTTTTTTTTTTTTTACAGTAGATGAAAATGTAAGTTTCAAGATAGGAAGAATATTTTTCTTACTCAACAATGATTATATATGACATGTTTAATCAAATAAATAATTTTGACGTAAAAATAATATATGATGATGGTTAAGTTCGTTTTCGAAATATATAATATCATATATGATTCGATATATTTGCGTATAATTTTTTTTCGATACGAAATATATAGTTAACAAGAAAATAAGTATTCAAGGATTAAGTTCACTTGGATTAGAATTCTATGTCTTTTGGAAAAAACACTGTTTGATTATGTTTTTAAAGTTTTCTTTATATAGAAATCAAAAAGTCGCTCTGAATCTCATCAAGAATTTGCACTAAAATAATATCTCTATTTCCAAAAGTAGAAGTTTACAAACAAAAGACACATCATACTGATTGTGCTTATCAGTCCAAGATAACCCTACAGTTAACGATGAAATAGATGCGAGACAATCTTCGGCTATAAATTGTTTTGTGTGTTGACAAATATATTGCTTTGATCGGGCTCAAAAATGTCTTTGTATTTGAAAAATAAGAAGAATCTCGATTCATGAGAAAATGTGAAAGTTTTACGTCGATCGGATGTAAACTTTTTTAAGAGTTCATACAATACGGTCTACTCGAGTTTTCAGCTCGCTAAACACTTTTTTTTTAATATCATTTCCGGTTAAATGAAAATAATCTTTTTTTTCCACTCTGTGAAACTTATGAGACTAGTTTTTTCTTTTCTTTTCAAATATTTGTATAACTTGTTACTAAATATAATTTTGGATATTATTATCGATTAAATGAAGATTTTATTTTAGAATACAATAGACTAATTATATATTTGTTCATTCTAATGTTTCTTGTCAAATATTTATTAATAAAAAAAAAGAAAATTTTAGTATTATTATTCGAGAAAATATGCTTAAAATATTAAACTGTCTGATCGAAGTCTCATGGTGGGGCATTTATTATAAAAAAAGAAAAAGAACTAATGGAACTCTTTTGTATTACATTCACATCAACTTATAAAATACTTGAATAAATTCTAATCTATTCAATAATAATACAGAACATCAAAGCTACTAGTCAAGATTAAGATAATTCTTTGACATATGTGTTGTTTATTGATTTTATATAGCAAACATACATAAAGATTCATTGAAAGTTTCACTATATAGAAATATCTAGGAATAATAGAGAATGTCAACATGATAATAAACTCATAAATATTTTAGTACAACGTAATAAATTTAGAAAAAAGTGTATTTTACATGTTACATGTAGTGATCGGAAAACATTTGTTCGAACTTAAATTCGAAGTGAAATTTTCTATGATTTTTAGCAAAAATTATCTTATAAACAACACTAATCAAAATCAAACTTAAGTATTTAAGCGAACAATCATGAGACGATCAAGTATATGACGCACTTGATAAAAAAAAAACTATTTTTTTTTGTGCATTCAATTCATCGTTATTTGAAACGAGTAATTCCGAAATTTTATCTATTGACATTTTTTTTCTTTGAACAATCGACATATTTTTATGAGAAAACAAAAAAAAATTTTTTTTTTATAAATTATACTTAATGATAAAATGAAGAATGGTTCTGTAAATGAAACTAAAATATTCATTTGCTAACAATCTATCACCTACTAGGATTCAGAATCAGAAAGTTTTTATAAATATTTTTTCACAACTGTTGATTTCCTACAAAATAATAAGAAAATATTCAAAAGTAAATGGCACATTTGGGACGAAATGACGTTGGTATGTAATAGTTTTTCAATAGGAAAGAAAACATTTTTACCGGCTTTTATTGTTCTGATAGAATTGTAAAGCAAAATAAGCACGACATTCATTGAATCAAATACATTTTTGATCATTTTTTTTTTCTTGTGTAAAATTAACCTCTGAAGGATCACAAGTGAATTATTCACAGAAAAAAAAAATCTTTCAAATACACCCCTGGGCAAAAGTCTTTCCCCCCACCTCTTTTTTCAGCGAGCCTTTTTCTACTATTATAAGGACAAAACATGGTGTTGTTCGGGCCGATTAGGGGTTATTAGGGTCCTCTTTTATATAGCCCGAACAACACCATGTTTTGTCCTTATAATAGCAGAGAAAACCTTGCCGAAAAAAGAGGTGGGGGGAAAGACTTTTGCCCAGGGGTGCATATACGACTCAATATATATATTGTAACATTGATTTTAATTGTCAATTTTATTTTTTGCTTTTCAATTATATCATGACAATGAAAACTGTTAAAAATGTTTCTTTTTTTTTCTATTGAAAAATCATTAGATGTGAACCTTGATTCATTCCGAAAGCAATATTTATATTTTTTGATTTTTTTCAAAGATCATTTTGTAGAAAATAAAAAGTTGTATAACATATTGGCGTGACCAAAACTTTGCGAAATTTTATATTATAGCACCAATTTCTTGTCAATGACAAAGGCAAAATTAATGAAAATTTTTATTATAGATAAAATCTATTATCGAAAAAGTTTTTGTATAGATCGAACTGAGCTATTTAGTAAATATTGGGTATTACGGAATTTGTGAGTACTTCGTATATTCGATGGTTTCATAATTTCTGTCTTGAGACTTATTTTTTTTTAATATTAAATGCAAATAAATTTTAAAACAGTTTTCTTTAAGTCTGGTTGAGACTTGATTTAATAGAATAATAATGATATATATTAAAAAAACAAAACTAACCTTTTGCTGGCGTTGTAGTTGTTGAAGTAGTTGCTAGAGCCGTTTGTGAATCACTTTTTGCTAATGTTAAATTAACTGATGGTTGTTGTGGTTTTGTTGTTAATTTACCAATATTACTCGAAAGTGATGTTAAAGCCCATGATGTCCATGATGTTTCATTTGCTGTTCCACCAACATTACTTGAATTAACATCTTTTTCTACATTACAAAAAACAAAAAGAAAGAAGCAACATTTCAATTTTTGTCTCAAAAAAAAATGAGATCATACCCATTTCAATAGCTAATTCTGGTTTTTCTGAAACTGTTTCTAATTTTTTAATAAATACTTGTATTGTTTTAAATGCCTATTTGATTAATAAAATAAAATTACACAAAAAAAAAACGAAATTTTTTTGTCTATCATGAATATTTTTACTTGTTGTCGAACATCAAGTTCAGGATCAATTGTAGCATGACAAACAATAGGTAAAATTTTTGTTGCTATATCTTTTAATGTAAAAAATCGTTCTGAATGATTAAGTGCATAAAGAGATGCTTGTCGAGATGGTCCAAATGGATCTTGTGTACCACGACCAAATGCTGATATTAGAAGACGACCACGTAACTAATTAAAATTAAAAAAAAAAACATTTTTGTTTTAATAAGATTCATTGAATGCAAAAGTTACAAAAAAAAAGTTCCTAATAAGAAAATTTATGAGAGAAACCTCACGTTTCGATTTCAATGATTGTTTTACTACATAGTCAATCATCTCTTTTTTTGTTTATCTTATAAGAAGAAAAAAACAAACATAAAAGTATCTTACACTTGGATTAAGATGTGCAGCTATTTTTCCAAGACATACGATTGTATTAGTTCGTATAACACCTTGATCATCACTTGTTTGTAAACGTGAAAAATGTTTCATTAATTCGATATTTAAATTTTTATAATTTAATTTTGGTGCTAAATATAACATTGCCTAAAATAATAATAATAAAAAAAAAAAAAAAAATTTATTATAAAACTATGGTTGAGTATCAGATATTATCTTTATTCGTATTGTATAAAATCAATTTCTATTTATATAATCTTTTGTAATATATCGGAGAATTTTTCTCAGGAGAATTCACTGTTTGGAATATGTAAGAAGCATGAAATTAAAAATAATCTATTCTAATCAAGTTATTAATTTTACAAACTTTTTATAGAAATAAATATTTCAACCATCAAATGAAAATTTAAACTATTACAAAATTCAAATAGTATTATATGTATTTCAAATAATAGACTATTTTAATCTTTCCCATATTTCTACAAATAAGTCAAATTTCATCAGACATGTTTTTGTAGAAGTTTAATGATGATTTTCATCATCTTATGATAGAAAAATCTGTTTTTTTTCTAAAAGAAAAAGCAGACAATATTTTTTCGCTTTTCTAATCACGCATCGTACAATTCTCAAACGACTATCATTACAACTAATTACTTTTTCTTTTGTTCGTAAGAGAGAATGTTTTGCTATAGTGCGTGACAAAGTTCATTATTTTAATTAAGTTTTTTTATTATTATATACAAAAAGAAAACAATTTCTATAAATATCTAACTATGTTTTAATAATAACGGGTGACCCATAATAAATGGCCGCACTTTGCATTGGATATTTTAATTTCAAAATACGTATTATTAAAAAAACAAAATATACCACAAGATGCAGCTTGAAAAGTTCTATAATTTACATAAGATCGCTTATTTTATAGTTGAATTTTTTATTTTCAAAATGGGCAAAATTTCGCGCGACCAAATTTCGACCATGCGAAAATTGGTCACACAGAATTTTTCTTTTTTTGAAAGCAATTACACTAAGCTTTACTGTGTAAAGTGTAGAGTGTTCCACGCTACATCTTGTGGTATACTTTGTTTTTTTAATAATACGTATTTTGAAATTAAAATATGCAATGCAAAGTGCGGCCATTTATTATGGATCGCCCGTTATTTAGCTTCGCGTTCTTTTTCTTCGCATAAAATGTAAACATTACAGTCTGACATATCTTATTAGGATAAAAAATAACGTGAAGTACCTAGAATAAATACCCACAGATATTTTTCGAAAACATTATGCTATGCGACTGAAAGTTTTACCATAGTTTCTCTACTATAGCTTTAAAATATTCTGTCATGCATTCTAAGTAGTAGAAACTAATATTTCTTATGGAATATGGTTTATAGAAAATGCTCACGGTGAAATATGGATCCGAACTATTATCGATTTCAAAATAGAAGAGCCGTCGGTATTTTTCTAATAACGTTCGATAGAAAGCAGATATGGACCTGTGATAGTCACTGTGGGAAATAGGAAATGAAAGCGCGTCGAACCAGATATTAGTCTTTTTCGACAAGTTTTATTGAGTTTTTTTTTTAATCAAGCTTTTGATAAATCATGTACAGCGTTCAGTCACCATAGGAAATTCTTGATTGTCCGGAGGGCATCAGAACCGAAAATCGAAGATCTAGAAAACTACGCAAGGCCCAAACTTTTTAACTTGTAACATTCAAGAGTTAAAGATATTTTACTGTGGGCTTCTACGTGATTTTTCGAGAAAGTTAACTGTACCAATCAAGCCCAAACGTACACATTTTTTTTAGAAAAAATTCAATAAAAACTCTCAAAACATTTAGCAGTAAAATGTGTCATATATGATTCAATACATCTTCATTTCCTCTTTCCAACAGTGAAAATCGCATAGATCTGTATTTGCATTCTATCGAAAATTATTAGAAAAATATTCACAGTTCTTCTATTTTAAAATTAAACATTTTCAAAGATGAATTTGACTTTCGTATTTATTCTAATTTCAACATACTTTAACAGTCGCTTCTCGAATAGCTGGTTCTTGATCAGTAAAACCAGTACAAATATTTGTAAATATATCATCATTAACAACAGCTGGTGTTAAATGTTCAACATATGTATCCAACTATAAATAGAAAATACATAGTTTTAAAAAAAAAATATATATATATATATTTACTTGTTGTAAAAGACGAAAACGTGTCATACGATCAGTTGAAGCAAATAATTTAGTTATAATAGGAACAATACGTTTTTTATAATCATTATCAGAAAGACGTTTGCCTAATTTAAATAAAGTTGGTAGAACAGCTGAACCTGATGAACCAAATTCATATGCATTGAATAATAATGGTAAGACTTTACGTTCATTAATATGTGAAGGAAATTGATCTACTTTATCTGGTAATGATGTAAAAAATGTTTGTTTTTCACCAGGATCTTTTAACTAAAATAAAATTTCAATAAATTTATTTAATTAAGAAAAAAACAAAAATAAAATTAAAACATACTTGTATTTGTTCAAGAAAGAGAAGACATTCAACTAAAGAATTATTTTGTATAAATGGAGATTGAAGTAATTTATCAAATGAAGAACGAAGTGATGGATTTGGATTTATTAATTCACCATAAGCAGCTGATAATGGACGTGGTATTGAACCTAACTGACGATAGGACGTAGCTGATGTAGCACCATTACCATTGAATATTTCCCATATTAAAGTTCCAACAAACCAAATATCACGTGCTCTGAAAAAACAAATTTTACAACTTTATCTCTTCACTGTTGTATGATGATGATTATTTGTTTGATATCTTAGTACATATTGACATGTTTATCTCATATAAAATATCGATACACAACATGTTTCAGAAGTTTTGCGGCATGATGAAATTAGTTTCTATGTAGACAGAAAATAACTCTTAACCAAATGATTTTTTTTTATATGAATCTTGAGTACATATGTGAAGATTTTAAAATGATATATTAGTGAATAAATATGTTCTTTTATAATAATAAAAATATAACTATGACAATAAATTTGATTTTGTAATAAAAAACTGAGTAATTATACAACGCAAAATAGGGTCATAAAAATTAACAACCATTTATCTTATTTCTTTGTTAGATGCTCGTTACGACTCATTAGTTACATGGTCAATCAAGATACGCACTCAATAATCGGATTAATATGGATAAAATATACAACGGTGTCACGTGCAAAACGAAAATCAAATTTTACTTCGAAAGGATGATGCTAAATTTTCTGTAAGGAAAATAATTTTCAAGTTTTAAATAACTAAAAATTAGATCGATCAAAGAATGAAACAAACAAAAAAATAGACTAACTTATCACGTTTGATATAAGAACTTCATTAATAACAAATATGTGATAATTAAATAAGACTTTCGTATAATTAGATTAATGCAAATGTTTTTCGTGATTTTTTTTTTGAATAGAATATCTTATTGATCGGTTGTGAAAAATTTATTCTCCAGTCTATATTTTTATTATAACACAAAAAAAAAAGCATACTATCCGATAATATGTCATCCGAAAGCTCACACACGAGTACTCAAGACTCATGTAAAAAAAACATACGATTAAGGGTTATTCTCTGTCTGCATATAAACTAATTTATTTGCGCCTTAAGACAAACTTCTATTCGTATAGACTAAAATGGTTATCTTACATAAAATGTTGACAAATATATGCGCAAATTGAAATATAATATCAGGCCAAAAGAAAAAAATAATATAGATGAAATAAGAATCTATTTTTGTAGTTATAGGTCTATAATTGCTCGTTCTGATCAAAAAAAAAAGAAAGAAAGATCGCTGTGACATTAGATTAGAAATCGTCAGATTAATTTCGGACCTAACCGATTGAATAGATTATACTCAAACAGTAACTGCCGATTATAATTTGGTTATTATAAGATTATTGTTAAGATTGATACAGATATGATCATCGTATTGTATTAGCAGAATAAAAGTAACCAATAAAAAAAATCGATCGCATCATCAAAACAATTTAGAGACTCGTATGAAATAATTTCATGGAAATTAAAAGTATACTTAAAATTCAAAAACCTTTTCTCAACAACTTCTTCATTAGGCAGCTGTCTTTTACTTTCCAAGTAACTCATTAATTTCTGTTAAAAAAAAGCAATAGCAATTCTATAGAGTCATGATTTGTACAGAATTCATTGGTGCTCAACTTGCCTTATTTTCTTTCTATCACTGATAGAAATGCAATGATGAGATGAACAGTACTAATTAAAGATTTCTGCATCATTCTTATTTCTTAACATAAGACTAGTCATCACTGAAGGTATTCCTGTATCTGCTGGTTTTATTATTCTGAATGTTAATGCTTGAACACGCAAGGCGACAGAGGCGTAAAATTTGTCGCCAAAAAAAAAAAAAAAGAAGATTTTCCGTACTGTCAAAATGAATAATTTTCTAGATTGCAAAAGAATAATCTAGAGAAAAACAAGTCTACTATTCAAGTAGAAAAAATTTTACTGATAATTGCATGTCATAAGAATTAATATGTATCTAACTATAAGAGGTTATTGTGCATCATACATGATTTTAATAAAATCGAATAATCGAAATCTTATTAAATCATAATTCAAAAATTTCATCTGTATAATTAATTTCGATAATGATAGCTTATTAAATTTAGAAATAAATTTTTAAGCTACTTTGTGTAGCATTGCTAATATAACTTATATGTAGTAGTGCTTCTCTACCAAGAAGTCACTTCATAGATAATTGAATAAATTTGATTTTCTTAAGAAAATAAGATGATAGCAACAGAAAATAGAAGACAATCAGGTATGCAAAATTGTAAGAAACTCATATATGAATCGTACAATATGATTGTTCAAGTCAAAAGAAATCCTAGTCTTTGAAACCTTATACTAAATCATACAAGAAGATTCTTGCAAGGTCTTACCATGACATATCGTTGTTTTTTTTTAATAATCGTATAATACGACTTACGAGGAAACTTCACTAACTAATTAAAAGCTTTTGGGCTCATATTTTGATCACAAGTAGGACTTGATGGGGACTAGAAGAACTTCAAAAGGATTTGTTTCCATAGATCTCTTTAGTTAAGTTACGAATGCCTTAAGTTTAAATCCAAAAGCGTAGATAAACTATTTCTAATGCTTGAATTACAACATTGTAATATTTCTATAGAAGGCTCTCTCTTTATTCTTTTGTTTATACTCGTTCTGATGTGAGTTGCGACTTCAAATGAAATTAAAAAAAAAGCACATCAGTCAAATGAAAATGAAAGATAAACTATGAATGAAGAGATATGCAAACAAAGCAACAGGTACAACTAATTGAGAAATGCATATGACAGTTTTTAAAGCACATACCTGGAACAATTCTATTGTATTAATACTTCATTTCTATAGTTCATCAGACAAACACAGCAAGAGGATTTTTTACAATAGCTTGACGTCTTAGCTATGAATATTTCAAAAAGAAAATTTTTCTTTTGAAATGTTACAGTAGTGTAATACAAAAAAAAGAAGCAGTTTATGTATGCTTCTGGTCGTAAACTTGAAACGTTCGCATCTTAACCAAATATGCCTATGGGGGCAAATCCTTTTGAAGTTTCTCTAGTGCCATCATGTCCTACTTATGGTCAGAATATGAGCCCAAAAGCTTTTAATCAGTTGGTGGGATTTCTTTCGTTAGTGTAAAATTTTTGTCTGATTAGAAGAAAGATCTTAACATCTGATTATTTGATCTTGAATGTGGTTTTGAGATAGGCATATACGATCATACAAGATCTTATAATAGGATGATTTAACTTCGATGAGCACTAGTTCCCTCTAATCGCAATAGCACAATCAGCATTAAGAATAAGTATGAGACACATAGGTTTGATTGTATATTAGCAAGATAATAAAGTCTTCTAACTTATTATCTGGTATTTTCATTACATATTATAGCAAACAATTTATTATATATATGAGAGAAAGCAAAACAAAGGTTAACTTAAACAGTGCGATACAAAGAGATGAAATACTCTAAAATATTCCAAATTTATGAAAAATAAAAAAAAAAGATATATGCAAATCAAAGAAAAGATCGATTGAATAATGAAAAAAAAAACAACTTCATTAAAAAATTTTCCTACAGTCAATAATTCTTTTTCTACGTAGCACCTGCGCGTATATTAAAAAACAAAAAGATTTTGTTTTTTAGAACAGAGTACAAGATAAATTCTATATGAGTACAAGTTGACAGCTTCCGTTCAATCAATCGACAGGAAATTATTTAACACATGTATGAAAACAACTATCAAACAAACACAAAATAGAAAACTCAATAAAGAAGAAAAATAGTTGGATATTGGTTTTTCGCGAATCTAAATTATCCAGTTTTTTTTTTGTGGAACTCACATATATTTTTGAAATAGCGATTGAAAGTTTTAAGTCGAAGTTTTCCGACTTTCCACGACAGACCTCAGCAACTGCGCGCAACAGGCTTCAGATTTATTTATTAATAGGAAAAAAAAAAGGAGTTGAACAGTATAAAGAATATAAGCTCGACTGTTATACAATATTTCAATGCCTTCATTATGATTTAATAAACTATAATATATTTTGTTAAAATTCTCAATAGCGAAATTGTCGATTTTTTTTTTTAGAATTCACACTAGTATTTAAAAAATGAAGACGAGTAATAGATTGATCTATCATAGCAATCATCTTATTTTGTCAGTTTACAAAATAAACGATGTCATCATTTCTGAGTTGATTCAAATATATAGTAGTGCAGTAAGATTCAATTGATAAAGATGAGAATTTAGATGTCAATATTACAATTAGTAGATATAACAAACGCATCTATTCTAATACGTCTTTTAATTAGTGTCAACGTTTCCTCTTGGAAATTCTAATGCATTAATCTTTTGATCGATGGAATATGAGCAATTAAAAAAACTCTAGCGTCTACGTATTTTTTTTATACTATCTTCGATTCTATCTCGAAAAAAAGAAATTTTAAGTTCCAACGTATGAAGCTTGTATTTAGACGAAATGAGATATTTCGAAGTTTTCTATAAAATTTTTGTGATAAACAATCTAAAAGAAGTGTTGAAGTATATAGAATAGATATTTATACCTCCTTCTACTAATCAGTGACAGATGCTAGTGAAAAACTATGACAGAAAGTAACAGACGCTAGCTATAGATTGTTGATTTACGGTCACAGATTGTATGTCAATAATAGCTTCTTACAATATATTAACTACTTCCGTATTGCGTTTCTAAAGGATTAAGTACAAGGATACCAAAGAAATATGTCTCAAGATAAAGAAAATAATATGATCTCTTGTAATTATCAATAGTAGTTACATCGTGTTTCGTATTTTTAATACTACAAAGATTTCTCTATTAGATTTTTAGTTGCGATTCTACAGAATCCCCTAAAGTTATTTTCTTTTATACAGAAAAAAACAAAACCATGGTAGAAAACATCTCATTTAAATCTTATTGAATAATTTCTTGATTTCTTATATTTTTGAATCAAAAATAAAATCCTTACTTTTGATTATCTCCACCTTTTTTTGATGGTGGTTCATAACGTTGACAAGCAGATAAATATTTCGATGGAAGATTAATTTGATCTTCATTAACAGATTGTACAAATTCTAAACATCCTAATTTCCAATCACATGATTTAGTATCAACAAATATTGTATTTGTATTTATATTTCCATGTGATAATTTACAATCATCATGAAGAAATGTTAAAACACGCTAAAAACAAAAAACAAAAAATGAAAGTTGAAAAAATTAATTAAATTTAATTTCTTACACATAATTGTTGTAAACCCCAAGCTATTTCAAGTAAATGTTCATTATTAAAATTTGTTTCATTTATATTTGATTTTAAATCATTTAAATATGTTTCAAGTGTTATTGCTTTTTCTGTAACAACATAAACAGATTTATCTGTCTAGAAAATAAATAACATAAAATAAATAAATAAAATTTTTGGATTTAATTATCTTACTTCAATACTATCGAGATAGATAAGAATATTTGGATGTCGTAAGGTTTTCATACGTTTCAATGCTCCTTTAGCTAATTGAATCTATAATGAAAATATTTTGTTAAAATTTATATATATATATATAAATATAAAATAATTAACTTACATAAGCATCATTTTGACAAGAAAATATTGTTACTAAATCTCCTGTTGTCTATAGAAAAGAACAAAAAAAAAAGAATCTTATTTAAAAAAAAAAAAAAGAACAGAAAAGAATGATTTACTTTTTTCTTTCCATTTAATATTGTCCAAATTGAACGAGGATTATTTGTTGTTTGTTGATTATCAGAAAGTATTTCATATCCAAGATCTTTTAATGGATCTTTTCCACCAGAAAAAAATGAACCCCACATTTTCTACAATTCAAAAAAAAATCTATATAAATTGAACACCTGATAATAATTATAGTTGATCATTCATTTATTCTTACGATACAACCATATGATGATGTGTCTTTGTTTCAGAGAAATATGATTGGATAAGAATCTTGTACTAATCATTAATCTATTAAATTTATTATTTTAAAAAAATAACCAACACTTGATTTTGATCAGTTTTCTTAATATAAAAATAGAAAAGAAAATTAATAGATGGCGCTAATAGTACGTACTGATAAACCAATGTATAAAATAATGTACATGGGTCGTGTGAAGTAAACGTACGTTGTCTGTTGGCGTGTACGAAACTCTAGAACATTAGTACATGTTATACTCGTTTCCTATACATGATACGGAGAATAATCAGTAGGTGTCCGTAGTTGTCTACGAAGTGGTCTTATATGATATTCTTAATTACCTGTTAATTGGTTATATTTTATATTATTTCTTATTAAATTTGACAGTAATAAATGTTTTCTTTCGAAATTTTATAAGAAGATGAAATGCAATATGTAATAAGTAATAAATAGATGAAGTTTTTTCTGTATTCTCTAACATATAATACAAACATCATTGTCAATATTTTTTAATAATAAAATGATCTAAAAACTCGACAATTTTCTTAATAACAACTTAAAATTTTCCTAGACGAGAACGACTTGCTTCAAAACCGTGCACATCAAGATCTATGAATATGAGAAAGATTCTAATTAAATATTTATTCTTGACGTACAATATAATTCTAATGAAAAAAAAAAAATGACACACTATTTTCTACGCATTATCATTAATCTATATAGAAAAAAAAAAATATATATATATATATATACTTGAACTTAATTCATTTCTTTCCTAGTAAAACTTTAGTGCATATTATTTTCTATTATTAGTATAAGGTCGATATTCTATATTTTATTTAATAAAAATTCATTTGACATGTTTTGCACTAGAAAACAAAAAAGGATGCTCTTCACAAGATGAAATTAAAAAAAATGATGTCTTTTGAAAATGACATTCTAGAGCAAACATTACGACCGTTGGTAATGACAACGTCATGAAGAAAATTTTTGCCGTCTGATATTATTTAAAGTGCTTTTTTTCTTAGATCGAAGATCAAAGAGGTCTATAAAGAGTTTTTTTTTTGTATTGTAGAAGTATATTTTTTATTTTAAGCGATTAAGGAAACTTTTTTTGTTTCACGCATTTTTTCAAAGACTATAATGGCTTTCTTTTTATAGTGCATATCTATGAATAAGTGTGCTTAATATCCCTCTCACTTTTTTCATTTATATTATAAGCACCATATTGCTAGATTGAATATGACAAATACTATTTTTTTTTTCTCTTTTTCTAAGAAACTCAATGAATAATTGAATATTTCTGAAGTGTCCTTCTCTTTTTTTTTTCTTTACTTGTTTCATAAAAATAAAATAAAAAAAACTACTAGGTGTACATCATTCATCTAATCGGATGTGCAATAAGCAAAAGAGAAGATGGAGAGATTTTGGTTGAAGGAAGAAAAGTTTGTTTTATGAATTTATCCAACCAAAACTTAGAAGAAAAAAAAACGAACAAGTAAAATGATCAAAAAAAAATATGAACTCAAAGATAGACGTTGTGAGATAAGAGACTTTGGAGCAAAGATGTGCCGAACTTCAACCTTAATAGTTGGTATGATATAGTTTCTATTTGAATTGGTATCAAATGATCCAAAACATTTGGAATTTAGTAAGATAGAATGCCATGTGTTTAGAAGAAAAGCCGTTAGCTGAATGCTTGAAAGACTATAATGTGAAATATAACAGAGCTCTTGGTTTTATCCAATAAGATGTTTTCATTTATGAACTCCTACCTATTTTCAATGTAAGATATAAATTGCAATAGATTCGAGTGAATATGAAAGAAAAGTAAATGACAACTATCATGCTAATCCTCTAGTGGACTTTAATCTCACGGTGATGTCTGTCATGATCGATATTGATCCTTCCGTTATATCTGTAAGAGATACTTCGAATTTCTATTCCTATACTGCAGCATTCCTTTTAGATTATGTTTCACAAAAATTCCATCAACACAATAATTTTGTTCTTTTGGGATAGTTCAGACACTTTCAAAAGAAATATTACAAAATTCTAAACTATTGATTACTTTTGTACTAATCTATATTTAAATTTAAACAAGAAGACTTCAGTTCCAAATCGACGTCGTATTTGTTAGACTTCTATTTTGAAACATTTCCTCATCTATTACAAAAGCTCAGAATAGATTAAGTATTTTTTTTTACAATGAAGTTTATATGATATAAAATAAAGATAAGAAAGTGTAGCAAATAAAAACCAATAAAGTAATTTAATCAGTTCGAATTTAAAAACAGAAACGATTTTTACTATAAAAAAAAGTTTTATTTCTTATTACGAGAATCTACATTTGATTCTTTGTAAAAAATATTAATAGAAATTATCATCTCTAGAGAATATAAAGAAAATTAAACATTTTTATAAGTTCACAAAATTCAAAGATTAAATTCTATTTGTATTATAAATTCATATGTTTCGGATGATAATCATACAGGTGATATAAAAAGTTGTTCAATCACAATAAAGTAACGGCTGTTGTGTGATTAATTCATAATTTCTCTTTGCCATGAATAATATTTCATCGAGTAAAATGTTAAGTCACTTTTTCCTGATCTAGTATCAAATCTTGGGTTCTGTGACCTAATAGTTTAACATCATAAAATAATGAAACAAGGGTATTTCTTTTGAAGGATGTCTCTTTTCGGATACTAAAATCAAAATTTTTCAATTTTTGGTTTTTCATCGGTAATATAACTTAGAAGTGTTCTGTGTCAAATGCCATATAAATAAAGACTCTTCATTATTAGTTAGTACTTTGATTAAATCCCATTCTCTTAATGATAATGATTATTTCTCATTTCAAAGGTACAGAGAGCATGGCTGATGGACCTCTGACAGCATCGAACCCGGTCAGTTTAGTTGGAGAAAAAAAAGCCTCATACATACAGGATATAGTGTAAAACTGTTCTGCTTCTCTGACATAGAACGTTCGACCGAACTGAAAATTTCTTCTACAGGTATTAACAACATGTACTTTTGTAGGTCGACTAAGTATTTTCATCTTTTTTTCCATATCGGTCAACATCAGCATATTGTTGAGAATATAAAATCAACTCCCTAGATAAAACCAAAACTATAATAACATCCTAAACCAATAAATTATCGCTGTCATGAAATACAAGTCAAGTGAAAACAAACTACTATAATTACATCAAAATAGTAATGAATATAAATTAACTTGAGATTTGATAATTAAATAAAAACAATAATATCAAGTTCTCAATAAAAAGAAGACTATATAATTTTTTTTCCTTTTAATTATGAAATAATGTTTATTAATTTTGCGATCTAGTTATAACAGTTGTTTAGACTTGAGTCGAATTTCATGAAAACAAATGGTTTATTGATTTAAGATAGTATTACATCGATTTTTTATTTATCTGTTTATTATTTTCCATAACACACGAATGATGAACGATACTCAATACTAGAATAGTAGATTAGCAAAATAATTTTTCTACTACGAAATTTATATTACTATTTTTGATTTAATTATGAAATTTTAATTTAGTATATATATAAATATATATTTATTTTGTTAAGTCATTACACTATTTCAAAATAGACAGTCAATTATAATATTTTTTTGTCTTACCTCTTTATATAATTCGTTGACATATAGTTCTTCCTTATTAATTTGTACAACAAATATTAGATCGATAATAATTTCATACAAACAAGATTATTTATTATTCACATACATGATTTTGTTCTTCATAATGAATTTGTCTTACTTGTTCTTTAAACATCATCGAACATTTGGGTATTGTAATTATGTCTTTCTATTGTATTCTTTATTGATAATATGTCATGTGAAAATACAATCGATGAAAATTAAATTATGACATAATTATATTAGTCAACAGAAGTATCAGATTATCTAGAAAATCAATATTAACTATAATAAAAAATAAAACTTTGGTGTCATTTGTAGAAACATACGGTTCTTATCTAATATATTTGAATATAATATTGACTCATCTGATTCTTTTTTTTCCCTATAACAGACTCTTTCTATGTATTCTTGTTATATATGATATGTTTTGTTGCTCAAAAAAACAACAGAAAGCTTCTTAATGGCTAGTAAATGTCAACATAGATTAATGGATTTACTTGCAGAGTGATATGTTTATTGTAACTTCTGCACTTCTGGTTGCAACAAACTAATAACTTCATTGAATGATATGTTGACCTTGTTTTATTCTGATCGATTAAAACAAAACAAATATACTTCTTTGAAAGAAAATATTCATTAGATATCATTTGTAATGCTAACATATTTTATATGACAGAATGTAAAAGAAATATGTTAATATTTTTCAGATTTTTCTTTATATTGTTAAATTGGGTCGATTCATTCTAGTTCTTCTAACAAAAAGACGTGTCTTATTGAATAAAACAAAAATTATGCTTATTGACGAACTTTTTCCTTATTTAAAAGAAAAACGCTATCTTTTAAGGTTACATTTTTCTCATGAAACATCATGATATAGTTTTAATTATTACGAGAATACAAGATAGAATATGGTTTTACATTTAAGATGAAAAACATGTTCAACATTAAATGAATATTTCAATAATCTCATTCTTAATATAGTTAATAAAAATTTTGATTTATTATTACTAATAACAAGTTATAACTAAAAATAGTATTGGTAAAAAGTATTAGAAAAGAAGGATATTATCAATAATCAGTAATAAAATTGATAACCATAAAGAAAGTAATAAAAGCCATACAGGAAGTTTCATAAGTGTTGAGACACGATAAAATTAGTTTATATGTAGACAGAAAATAACCCTGAGTCAAGTATTTTGATATAAGCCTTGAGTACTCGTGTG